AAACAAATGCATCCACAACGTGTCACTGTTTGGTGTGGATTTTGGGCTGGAGGCATCATTGGACCATACTTTTTTGAAAATGAGGCTGGTCAAGCAGTGACTGTTACTGGTGCTCGATAAAGCTACATGATAACACAGTTCTTTCTGCCGAAATTGGATGATATTGATGTGGCCAATATGTGGTTTCAACAAGACGGTGCCACATGCCATACAGCTCGTGAAACAATTCAGTTACTGCATGAGACGTTTCCAGGTCGTGTACTCTCTCGTTTAGGTGATCAGAATTGGCCCCCTAGATCGTGTGATTTAACACCATTAGATTTCTTTTTATGGGGTTATTTGAAATCACAGGTCTATGTCAACAAGCCCACAACCACCCGTGCATTAAAGGAGGAGATTCAACGCTGCATCAACGAAATTCAGCCACATTTATGCAAAATGGTCATGGAAAATTTCGACAAACGAGTGCGTATGTGCATGCAAAGCCGTGAAGGCCATTTGCCCGATGTGTTATTCCACAAATAACCCTATCCTATGTACTTTATGATTCAATAAAAAAAATAACAATCAAAAGACTAAAAACTGTGTTTTCTATTTAATTCAAATCTTGCGTTAATTTTGGGACACCCTTTATATGTGCGTGCGTGCGTGCGTGCGTGTGTGTGTGTATAAATAAAATAAGAGACATCCGAACTGTAATCAATTCCACATCGAGTGATAACAATCGCAAATCGACGGTATTATATCCGCAAATCCGATTTTATCAGATTTCTATATCTCAGATCAGATATTATCATTCTCCTCTATCCATCGCAAATCTGATTTTGTCATAAACTAATACATTGAGCTCACAAGAACACATGAAAAGCGTTTTCGAAACGCTCTTCAGATTGCATCTCCCAAAACTGCTGTCAGTTATGCTTTCATTATACGTGAATATCTCGGCAGATTTCAATTAATTGAACTAACACTGATCAAAAAATGATTATGCTCGTGAAAAGTGCTCGCACTTTAGAAACGATTCAAAAGCGCTTT